GAGAGCATCCAAGCTTGTTTCCCAAGCAATGAGATACAAACATTGATCACTTGGTCAACTGTACTAACCCATCAATCTTTAATCCATCTTCATTTCAAAGAGGCCAAAGTCAAAAACTTAGTTGTAACGGGTTTTAATACCCGTTTTCCTTACACGATTGATCACGTGATGAAAGATGCATAGATGAAAGATGCATGGAGAAAAGAGTATGAAACCCATCACATGCAAGTTTTTCTCCTTAAATAATACTTCAATTTGGTATTTCTCAAAATTTCTCAGGCTCCAACCTCCAAGGCTAGCCATATATCATCCCCCTCGAAAGTCCGAAGAGTCGGTATATCATGCCCTTTCTTTCTTGGGGTTGTCTTGTCTGATTTGCTGACTGATGTGGCATGTGGACCCTACTCCTGTCCTGGCTCTACCACTGACGCGTGGGTCCCCCACCGTTTGTGAAGTATTCCACTGCACGCTCTTTTCCTCTCCCCAAGCGCTTTTTGTGGCAGGTCCAAGTGAAATTAGGTTGGCCTAAACCCGTTGCCGTCTTTATTTATTTTAATACTGAAAATAATAATAATACTAGACTAAAACCTACTCGTTGTACCCTTTCTTTTTTATATGTATGACAATGCACGACCAGTTTTACTGTTACATGTCATGAATAATATTACTATTAATAGTTCAATAAAATTAAATTAAAATTTTGGTAACTACACAAATTTCATGAATTTCACACTAGGATAGGATATTTAACTATAGTGTATGAGATGCGATAGTAGAATAATACCGAAATTTTGTTCTACCATACAATTAATTTAGCACGGGTTTTTTGCGGTTACGAAATGAGGATTTCAATAAATCACCAAAATTGTTACAAAATGTAGCAGCATGTATAAGGTTACCTCATTAAAACATTTTTAGGAATTTAGCACTGTTATTATAATTTAACACTGTTACACTGAAATTTTGATAATAACTACACTAAGTAGATCTACTAATTGGTTCTGTTTGACCCAATAATTAGAATATAAAGGCCAAAGAATTGCCAATCATTACATGTAGATGTGGGGATACATGTTCTCTCGTCAACATTCAAACGCGTTATACTTCGAATTATTAATCTAAAGAATTGGACCTGTTGATTTTTAGCTAAACGTATCATCTTAATTGAGAATTTAAGAACATACTAGACAAAATTCTTTGGAATCATTCCACGTGTTGAAACTCTTGGGTGCTAAACACGGTCCAATCCACTCGAGGACGAGAAATTAGTCCAATTAGATTCATCCCTGATGTCATGTGTTTAATTTTCTTATGGTAATAATGTTTATATATAACTGCATTTAAAGGGGTGAATGGTGATTTTTTATCTACGCCTAGACCTCCATCATAGACAATAAGAGTAATTTCACCGTTCCTCCAGCCCAGGCAAGAGGCTCTCTAGGCTCTTAATCTCGTTGCCAACGCCCAAAGGCAAGACTTGTATGGGATGTTGCCTAGGCAAGTTGACCTAATGTTGACGTCATTGTGACGTCGCATCCAATTTAAATAATAAAATAATAATAATAATAATAAATAACCAAAAGTTTCAGAATTTTTTTTTATAAATACCTAGCTATATTCTTCACTTTCCACACCAAAACTCTATATAAATTCCTCCCCTTATATTAATAGTAACAACTCTCACATTTCCTTGTCTTTTGCCACGACAAATGAATGGAAATGCTCTAACAACCTACAATGAGATTTTAACAATAGTCAATTTCATTTGAACACCCTGAAGTTCACCTTAATTACGGCAACATCCCTTTATGTTCTCATTGTTACATTCTTATGGTGACATAAAACACGTTTTTATTGAAGATGTTTTGTAATTTATATATCCTCGAATACATCGCTCTTTCACGCGGAAAATAAAGTGTGTAAATAAGCCACACCTCAGGGGTCTATATGAAACAAATCACCCGATAAAGTTCAAAGTAACCAATTATAGCGTTGACTCGTCCTCCTTGACTTGCCTACTGATAATCTCGAGTCAAACTCACCTTCGACGAAAATCCCTCTTCCTTCCTTCCTTCCTTCCATGGCAGCATACTTCTTGCCTCCTTCACAACACCAGCATATATCTCTCTAATTCAACCCCCTCCACCACGTTTAATTTCTCACCAAACCCC